ACGCATCTCCGGCCTACAATACCAAACAAACAACAGACACAGCCGGACAGACAATATCCAGAATTCAGATCAATAGCAATAAGAAGAACAAATTCCGCTGTCATCACCGCACAACAAAGAAATCATGAAGGTTTCCAAAATCGATTTTCATGTCACATTCATCAGTGGAATTATCGTGACTGTTGTTGTCTCCATGTCGATTATTCAGATGAATCATGGGAAAAACATACCACTGCAGGTATGTATGTATGTATGTATGTATGTATGTATGTATGTATGTATGTATGTATGTATGTATGTATGTATGTATTTGAAACTCGGGTATTGAGCCAATAATAAAAGTAGAAAGGAAAAGGACATATGGAAACGAGTTAAGAGTAACTCTCCACCACTGTACCTAGATACTATATACAGTCAGAAATCTGTCAGTATTGTGCCTAGTTGTTGCACTTTCTGACTGTATATAGTATCTAGGTACAGTGGTGGAGAGTTACTCTTAACTCGTTTCCATATGTCCTTTTCCTTTCTACTTGTATGTATGTATGTATGTAAACTCGGAGGGAGTTGTGGTTGCTCGTGAGAGTGCTCAATACACCAAGGTGCAGAGCCTAGTACACACACTTGAGAGGGACGAAAAGCGTTTCTTCTGTAACTCAGCGTTTCTTCTGTAACTCGGGCCCGTCTTCCCCCCAGATGAAACAGATGAAACAAGATGAAACGAGATGAAACGAGATGAAACAAGATGAAACAAGATGAAACGCCAATGTACGGGCGCAGATGGGGCCGAGATGAAACGAAATGAAACAAAATGAAACAAGATGAAACAAGATGAAACAAGATGAAACCAAATGAAACTCGAAGTACGGGCGTAGATGGGCCGCGAATGAAACAAGATGAAACAAGATGAAACAAGATGAAACAATGTACGGGCGGAGATGGGCCGCGCGCAGTGCACCCGGCGTGACGTGCACGAGCGAAAAGAACTGAATTAATCCAATCATTGAAATAATTTTGTTTGCAGAGGCAATTCGCGCAAGGGAGGTATAGGAATTATTATTATGATGGCTTGCGAGTGACAGCACGAGCCGAATTTATTGCCCGTGGAAGTACCCACGATAGGAATACACTGTTGGGAACATGGTGGCGCCGCTGACGGTACCTATGTAAGTGGAATTACTTTATTGGAAGTACCCACGACGGGGAAAATAGTCTCTCTAGTATTGTCGGTGAATGGTGATGGTGGTGGTGGCGATGGCTACTTTCCTCTGCTCAGAGAGAACCCCTGCATGTCCTTCGTCGTGATGCAAAAGAGCAGTGGATGCAGGTAAAGGCCGTGTCAGAGAATTTCGCCTAGTGCTGTGGCCAGGGTGAAAATAAATTAGGGCTGAAACGATCATTCAATAACTCCAAGCGCGCGATCAACCAATCTCTTTAGTGATGAATATAATTGTGACATAGAAAAATGTGGGCACAAGCTATGCAATCGAGTCCACCAACTAAACCAGATTTCGAATAGTCAGACGTGCACAATCTAGCACAAAACTGACAAGGAGTATGAGTACTGAGACATTGAGATCAATTATAATTGTTGGTTCATAATTATAGATTCTTTCCGGCTGTAGTCGTGCACCTCGAGTACAAGACTATGAAGAAATTCCATGATGCCTTTGCTACATTAGCTGTGGCCACCAGTCAAACACTCTATACCCAGGCTACCGCTCAGTGTTTGGTATTCTGTAAACATTTCAGGCAATTGTGTCGACACCTGTAGACATCTGACTGGTCTAAAGCCTAGTTCACATTCGACGTAACACTGACGGTACAGGACGTAAGGGCCTGTCGGGACGGTTGGGGTGAGCTGTAAAATCTTTTACGATTCGTACGACACGACATGTTGCAGTCGTTGCGATGTTCTCCAGCGAACGGCGCGAGTCATAAGGTACAGTCCGTGACGGGGTGACTTTCGGACCTAATTTCTTGTTTTTCGGGACTTCTTTTCAATTATTTCTTTTTGAATGAAGCGAAATCAAGTTCACAATACCAGTTTTTCATGGAGACAAAAAAAGTAGCCCTGAAAGTTGTGCCATTCGAATAGTAGCCCTAGGAAATGATAAAACAGTTCATCTGTCATTCTCCTAAACTATCCCTAAATACCATATTGGACATGAGATCTTATCTTGCTAAAATTCAACTCAAGTCGTGTTAGCCATTCTGCGAGTTATCATGGGAAGCGCAGTGTTCGAAATCCTAAAAAATTCCTAGTACGAATCGGGAGTGGATGGCGCACGACGCCGCCTCCTGTTCTCACTCAAAATGCAGCCGTTTTGTACGCTTGCGTCTCCGTCTATGCCCGTCTACGGTATGAAAAGTTGAACTGATCCAACACTTCCCGTCGCTTCCCGATCCGTACGGTAGTATGGTTGCGTTCCCGTTCCTGGTGTTCACATTGGACGCCGTCAGACCGTCCTGTCGCTTCCCATCGATCCTTACGCCGCGTCCCGTCGAATTTGAACTAGGCTTTATCAATATGAACTAGAGGAGTTCATGTTGTTGTTTCTAGAACGAAGAATCAGGCTTGTCGTCACCCTTTGGCTTGAAGCTCTTATCACCAACTTCCGCAACGAATCAATTGAAAAGATACCGTCTTGACTCCCGATCTCTTTCATAGCTACGCATCAATATTACTGCGCTTGAAAGTACACGATTTCACTCGTATCCACAATTGGATGGAGTGCAAGGGCTAGAATACTGCCACTGGTATGCATGCATAAAAAATCGTTTGCATTCGCTTTGAACACTAACGCTTATCGATTGCGCTCTTAATAAAACGATCGGTTTGCGAGTTATCTGTATACTTGTTTCAGCCCCAAATGCATTGCCCTCGTAGAGGACAGGGATGAGCAGTGATATGAGCAGGGATGTGAGTACTGATGTGCCTTTCGTCCTCATATTTTACAGAGAAGACGTCTGCCCCCAATAATAAAATTAATGTAGTAATGATAATGTGTTGCCCTTTCATCTTCTCAGGAGCCCTATGCCTTTGCCTCTTCTCCCCTGGACTGAATGGACTGGACGCTCTGTCCAGTAGTGTCCAGTAAATGATTTGTAGTGTAAGTTAGGGTGCACTCTCTCTTGAGGATTTGCCCACCTTGATGATTGTGCTCTTCGTGTTATTAGAAAATGTCTCTACCTGCCAGGATGGTATAAGAGCACGAACTGAATCACCTGTTGGTGCAGAAGGCTTGGAGGACTGCTTTTGAAACAGTTGTTCAAATTTCCTGCACCTCTTCGTAGCCGTTGTCTGACTTCTGCATTCTGGGGAGACTGAAGTTAAGGTTAGTGAAGCTGCACAGTCCCCGTGGAAATGTTTATGCTGCAACTATTTACTGCTGACATGTATTTATGTATTTCAGGAATCTCCAGAGGGTGAAGGCTTGCTGCAAGCTCCGTCCCTTCAATGTCGTGATACATCCATAGATCAGTCGTGTGCCTGTCCTGTGCTTTTATGAGCATGCTCCTTTGCACATGCCTTTGTCCTGTGCATGCGCGGGCGTGAGCGCGCGCGTGTGTGTGTGTGTGTGTGTGTGTGTGTGTGTGTGTACGCCAACGACACCGTCCGTGCACATGTGCATGGACGTGAGTTTGTGCGTTTGCCTTTGTTATATGCATACAGTATTATCGTAGTGAACCCAGGACAGAAGCGGACCAGGCATCATGACTTTGCACATCTATCGTTATGCTGCTTCATTACGCGACCTGTTTTATTATTATTATTATTATTATTATTATCAATTTATCATGCCTATACAAGCCTTGCCAGTGTCTCGATAGGAGAAGCAGATACATGATTACACCACTTGGGTTTTGACCTTCTTTGACCGGGGCGAACGTCCAAGGAAAGACTCCCTCTGGGCCAAGGTGTTGGCGACAGTTGAGAGTTGTCCTCTATTTTGCAGCGGGGGACAGCATGGCATATTTGGTACCGGAAAAAGTGCAGTTGCACCTTTCACGTTACTGTAAAATTTGCTAGGTCACTCCCTTGAAGCTGGAGACTGCTGATACTGCTGCTCAAACGGCTGCTGCTGTTACTCTCTGCTGCTACCATGGTCGTTGCTTTGTATCAATGGTGAAAATTCTCAGATGAGCTTTGGGTCCGGGCACTAGAACCCTGCTGCTGCCTCTGCAGCAGTTGTAGAAAGTTTTATAATACCAGTGTCGATGGTGAACTTCTGCTCTTTTTTTATCCCAGACACTTTGTGCTCAAGAGACTGTTAGGTCTTTGTGGTGTTGTCGTTGCTGTTTGGTTATACTAGTTGGCGTCTGTTTGGAAATATATTGTGCTTTTCTGTATGTTCATGTGAACGTAGAAGCCCTCACCGAAACCAACACTACGTCGCTGTGTTGTTTTCTTCCAAGGTCGGGCACAGTAAAGGAGACGACTCTGTGAGTATATTCGCAGATGAACTTTGGGTTAATAGAATGCAGGTGCTGCTGCTCTTGTGCCGGGCTGTTGGTGTCAATGATGGGGTGGATCATGCTTTCTCTTTATATACCTTTTGTATATTTGTGTGTAAGTAGGAGCACATACCAACACGTAATCTTTCTAAAGCCTAGTTCTCTTTTGACGCAACGCTGACGGTGCGGGACGTAAGGGCCTCTGACGGCTGGGGTGAGCTGTAAAATCTTGTACAATTCGTACGACACGACATGCTCCAGTCTTTGCGATGTTCAACAGCGAATGGTGCGAGTCATAAGGCACAGTCCGTGACGGGGTGGCCGTCCCGTCGTTTCCCGTCGATCCTTATGTCGCGTCCCGTTGCGCCCCGTCGAATGTGAACTGGGCTTAACAATGGCATGGAGACAATTTCAATTGCAGTTTAATGTTACTGCACTGCACTGCAGGTATTAAGGCACTACCCAGAGGGAGGATGTTGGCCTTCTCCTGATGGGAAAATATCTTCTTTCTCATGGCGTGGCCAGGACTGCACTGACCCTACCATCCACTCTACCTCTCCGGAAAGGGACTTGACAACCAGTCAAGATGGAAGTGCAGAGATATACCAGCGGTAAGTCACATGCTTAGGATATCCACTTGATGAAGGAAGGACAGGTGCTCAACTACTACACCAAAATGTGAGCATAAGGAGGTGGGCTGATGGGTCATGGATGGGTGACAGGTCTTTGCCCGGTTGCTGGAGTATAACAATCTGGGTCTTTGATTGGTTTAGAAGCGGCCCGTTCTATTCGGGGTGCCATCCTCAATTAGACGGGCAGTGACGATCTTGCAGGACCAATCGCACATGTAGAATATGGACATGTGGATGCGGGCAACAGATTTGTAATTTCCAGTATCAAAGCTCAGTTGTATTTGCTTTTCTATATTTTCTATTTGTGATGTTGTTCACTGCAGCTTCTAGCATTAACTGCCAATTTGCACTGACGCAGCAAGACTCCCAACAGTCAAGTATGTTTCATTGCATGCACTAGGATTACAGTAGAATGCCGATTATCCGAATGTCAACTGTCCAAACGGTCAATTATCCGAAATTCCTGTTTGCACTGAATTCAATTCAATAAGTCGACTTATACCGGTAAAATATGGTAACAGCGGGACTGCAGGGTGTGGCATTTCCATGATACAGTGGAAAATTTCACGATTTTTGGTGCAAACATAGCTCAGACGCTGCTCGATTGGATATACAATGCAGGTTCTTGGAACCACGGACACGACTCTTCGATTCAAGGCTCACAACACTTCGGGATCTGAACGTTTTAGGTCCGGGAGCTGTTCGCGGTTTTGTCGCTTGTCACGGTTGTGGACTCATCATTGTAGCATAAATGAGGCTGGACTATTCCAAGCGGAAAACTAAAATATTTCTTTCTCAAAGCACAATCACCGGCCCGGAGGAGCACACCTTCTCTAGCTACATACCGGGTGCAGTACATGACACGTCCGTGTATTGACTAGTCTCTTGTACATTTAGATCTACCACACGACTCGCGTAGCGCTAGCACAGCAGTGCGGGTGTAGTCATGTACTACTACTACTGCTACTACTACAGTACTGCCGGGCGCCGAAGAACGGACCGCCGATGAACGGCCAGGCTATAATTTCGCCATTTTTTAAGAACGGTCTAGGTAGAAACGTAATGTACAATATGAATATGATGTACACTCAGACGCATAAATGTGCATGTAAGACTGTACCATCGAATAAGAACGAAACTGCTGTGTTCGCTAAAAATGAGAACGGGCTAGGCTAGAACCCTGACCCCGTTCTTCGGCGCCCGGCAGTACTGTAGTGTAGTGTTCCGTATGTTTGTTGACTATGGCATGCACGCAGAAGCCAGCGGATGTAAAAAGTCCAAATCGGAAACGGCTAAAACGGGATATCCTCAAATTTTGCCGAGCTGAAAATCACAGGGTACGTAGGGCTTGTAACAGTGAGTCGAATGCTCTTGGTCCGGAGAAGCTGCAACAGATGGTTCTCAAATCGAACGCGTTTCGAATATTGGCCATTTTGCACACAAATAGATGGTGTGGCTACCTGGCTGCACACTGTGACCTTATCACCTGGATCAGGTAGACTGCGTGCTCGCGTTCGCTCATGTTCGATTTGGCGTATCTGACGAACCATGGACCGCAGCCTCCTTGGAAAAGAACATTCAACTCAGCGCCCCAAATCTACGGGTCCTGAAATTAAAAAAATTCAGCAGACTTCCCCTTTAATATTTAAGGCAGAACTTATTACAGTCCTTGATTAGAAGTTGACATATTCTTGTACGAATCCGGTGGCAGCCACAACAATGTCTTTTGTGAAAATGTATGCAAGCCTTTTAAAAAGCATCTCCCACCAGGCATTCGATCGAATTTTTCATAGCGTGGAGATTTGTTACGGCGTGAACTGATGCTTGGCGTGTAGAATTTGCTTTTTGATGTGTTCTTTGGAAGATGCAGTCTTAAAAATGGTGTGGATGTCTTTGTTTCTGTCCTTCTGCTGTCCTCGTAGAAAGAATAATATAGACGTGCAGAAAATGTAGGAGAGCGATGACATCAGAAGGACACTCTCAGGTTCAGGGTACCTGTACTGCCCCAATAAAGTGGGTCAGATCCCAAAACGAGGTTGGCCGAAGCAAAAAAATAGAAGAGCCTGCCTTGAATCGAATATGAGGAAGAAGAAGAAGAAGACAAAGAAAGAGAAAGAGTAGGAATTTGTTTGTGTAAACTTTGTTTCCTCTGTCTAGGCCATCGCATTATAGCAGCCAACAGTGTGTGTGTGTGTGTGTGTGTGTGTGTGTGTGTGTGTGTGTGTGTGTGTGTGTGTGTGTGTGTGTGTGTGTGTGTGTGTGTGTGTGTGTGTGTGTGTGTGTGTGCGCGTATGTGTGTGTGTGTGTGTTTGCGTTTGTGTGCACACGCTTGTGTGTGTATGTGTTTGCATGTGCGTATATTCTGCTCATCTTGACTTAAATTTCCACATCTGGGCATATTGTGTTCTGTATTACTACGTTCCTTTCTTCACGTTACGGCACTTTAGTATTGTTTTACTTGAACATCATACTCTCGCCCAACTTTGTTTCACCAACAAAGGTTTATTTTCTAATTGATTGTGTATGAGTTTCATACCACTGTCAGGGGCGTCGGAAGGTATTTTAGTGTGGTACGGTCAGCCATCTGAAGTACAATTGACTCGTGGGGGAGTGGTGGCTGAGCCGAAAATTTTGGAATTTTAGATCCCAGATCAGTGTATTTTGTTGATTCACGGGGTATCTGGGGCAAAAAGTGGTACGGTCAATACTGTAGTGACCGTACCGTGTGCGACGCCCCTGACTGTTGGAATCCACCAGCTGTGTTTCCTTGAGGGGCGTATCCTTACCTGGGATGTGTTTTCTCATTCCCGGCAGCAGAAAGAGCTCTACAATATGTATATAATTTAAGAATAGAATTAGATGTACAGGAGAGTGCCGATTATCCCCACCCCTCGGGACGCGGGCTGTCTCCAGAGGGTTCAGATGAGAAGAATGTTCGGATAAGAGAGTAGTCACACATCAATCTAAATCATCCATATTCCAGCATGTTTTCATCATTTTCATTCTCTTCTGCAGTGCAATAGGAACTAGGTGCACTCAAGCTCCTCTAAATTAATGACACTATTATTACACATTTTGACTCAAACCTGTTGTAATACATCTTGTGAATCGCTTCAATGGTGCCCTGAGCGACGAAAATCAACAACTTGAAACTCATCTTCTACCCCTCAATTAAATGCAAGCAATTATTTTGGATAATTAATCATTTGGATAGTTGATATTAGGATAATCGGCACATTGTGTGTGATGGGGGGGGGGGGGGAGAGGAAGAGGAGGAGGCTGCGAGAGGCCGTGGTGGACGTGTACTTGTGCAGAGCCTGGAAAAAGCCTCACTTTAGATGTATGCAAACGGTGGATGCTTCCCCGCCATCCTTTTCCCCCTCTTTTTCCTTTTCCCGCCATTCTTTACCCCCTCTTTTTCAATTTCCCGCTCTTCTTTTCCCCCTCTTTTTCCCCCTTTTTCTCCCCTTTTCCCCCTTTTCTGCGAGAAGATTAGCCCCCTCCTTCACCAAGGTGCAGAGCCTAGTACACACACTTGAGAGGGACGAAAAGCGTTTCTTCTGTAACTCAGCGTTTCTTCTGTAACTCAGAGTTACAGAAGAAACGCTTTTCGTCCCTCTCAAGTGTGTATGTATGTATGTATGTATGTATGTATGTATGTATGTATGTATGTATGTATGTATGTATGTATGTATGTATGTATGTATGTATGTATGTATGTATGTATGTATGTATGTATGTATGTATAACCCATAACCATTCTGGTCGTAGGGGTGTCATGTGTGTCATAAGGCAGCAGCATCAAAAACAAACAAAAAACAAAAACAAAAAAAACCTAACTACATCAGAACAAACAGCTCAAGCAGCCTCGTGCAGAGCCTGTTGACTAGTAAGGAGCGTGCTGCACAACGGTAGTGTTAGAGTTGTGTTGGATGAAACCGATATCTTCCTCCACACTGGGCAGATGGTATGACACATACATGGCAGGGATGAATTTACTGTCATATTTTTGCATAGCAGTTTCTGCTATACGAAATCACAATTGTGTAGCAGTCTTTGATTTTTATTAGCATTTTTTCTTTGAAGGTAGGGTATTTACCACATTGTCCTTCTTGAGAGTGATGCCGAAAGCCCATTTGCAAAAAACCGACTGAAGAATACATATGCACGCAGATTGAGAGTGTCTGCACCCCATACACCGCACTGTATGCATGTTACATGACAGCACAGGCTAGGCATGGATAGTGTGTATGCATCGCAATTTTCTGCGAGTCATGGTGACTTTTGAGTAGCAGTAGATCGATTTTGCATCGCAAACTGCGATGCGATACAGGATAAATTCATCCCTGCATGGACATAACGGTTCCATGCAAACGCCGTTTACTGCGCTGCATCTCCCACCCTGGTATAATCAGGCATAGTGATGGCCTGGCACGAGTGAAACTTCTCTAAGCTGCATGGTTGTGTATCTCAACACAATTGTAAGCCGGTTGTAATGGGGATGCGCAAACTTTACTCAGCATCACACACACACACACACACGCACTCACTCACTCACTCACACAGGGTTCGCACCAAGTCATGAAAATATTATTCAAGGGTTTTCAAGGGCCCCAAACCCCATTTTTTCAAGGACATTCAAGGACATTAGTTGGTGGGCTAACCGTTGGTTGGAACATCGCCGCCATTATCACTCAGAGAGAAGACATCGCGCTCAGAAGAAGAGGTGTTCACGCTGCGTCCAAGAGTGAACTATTGTGCTCTTTGACCCTCCATAGTTCCTCTGAGAGAGTGCCTGGGAGATAGGTAGCTTGGAAATGGCCGTAGAACGTGCTTTCCTGGACGCAATATTCAGCCATTTCTACCGTCTTCTTCAACTTGATTTATTTCGAAAAAAATGTTATTTTTCAGGGTTTCTGCACTGGACGCGTTTGGGATCGAAAATCTCACCTGCGCAAACAGGCTGCGCAGCTCACGCGCTGAGATCCCTATCAGTACTACCAAGAGTGGATCCACTCTTGGTACTAGATCTACGGACTACGGTACCGGTTACGGGTACCCAGCAGTGCGCGTAGACCTACTGCATGAACGTGAGTAGATCTACCGCATTCAAACCCAAAATCAAGGAAAAACACACTTTTTTCAAAAATTCAAGCACCCACACGAAAATTCAAGGATATTCAAGCACTTTCAAATCCGGCTTTGACATTCAAGGACTTTCAAGGAATTCAAGGAGTGGTGCGGACGCTGTCACATACACCTCAGACCTGCCCATCGCAGAAGCGATGATAGCGAACAGCTATGTTTAGGGGTCGTCGCAAAAGTTTTCTGTCGTCCCTGAAACGAACATCGTTCATTTCGTACTTGGACCCCCTCCCCTCCCTCTGAAACGAACACAGCTTGCTATGCTGGACGACGAAAATCGCATGCATGTACATGTCATATGTACAGTGTCGGTCGACTTGCGATTTTGGCTCGCACCCCCCCCCCCCCCCCCCCAAATGAATCATGTTCGTTTCAGGGACGACAAAAAACTTTTGCGACGACCCCTTAGACATAGCAACCTGTGCTGGGATTACACCATTCAACAGCTTGCAAAGCTGATGAATTGACCGCCACTAATTTTAGCCTGGTATCCACCACACAGCTGATTGAAGTGGCTTTTTCTGGCCAGTGAATCCCTATTTTTCATTTTTTCTTCTTCTTTTTTTTTACACACACACACACACACACACACACACACACACACACACACACACACACACACACACACACACACACACACACAGGGACATCAGCAGGAAGAGCAGGGAACAACAACGACGGCAGCAGCAGCAGCAATGGCAACTTACCACCCAGACATTGGACCTGGCCTCTAGCTCTGAGTTGACTAGATAACCACCTTTCTTCTCATCCAGTTCCAGCCGAGCTGCAGCAGCCAGCTCCGTGTTGGGACGGATGCCGACAGCAACCACAACATGGTCTGTTTCAATCTGTGAACACAGATACAGGCGTAGCAGGCAGTAGCGAGAGCAGAATAGATCAGACACAACACAGCACGCATCACCTTCGAACTTAACCTTCCCCCGTACGCAATGGTAGCGATTCTGCAGCATAAGCCATAGCAATTTGTGCTGGGAATGCGCCATTCAACAGCTTGCAAGGCTGAAGAATTGACCATCACTATGCAGTCTGGTAAACACCGCACAGTTCTCTGAAGGGGCTTTTTCTGGCCAGTGAGCACCCCCCACCCCCCACACACATACATGCAAACCTTGTTTTTGAACATTTGCCATTTCAATTTTCCCTTCACTCTCAACAAGGAATCGAACATCCCAGGATCCGACGCGGACCAGGCAGCATTTTCTCTCTCTCTCTCTCTCTCTCTCTCTCTCTCTCTCTCTCTCTCTCTCTCTCTCTCTCTCTCTCTCTCTCTCTCTCTCTCTCTCTCTCTCCGTGCTTGGGCAGATTTGTTGAAGCGCTGATGGTCTCTGCCAATCCATCGCGAGTGGGAGATTCAGGCACAACAAAAAGTGGTGCCATCGTTCGACACCCCGTCTTCTTGTTGCGCTGGGAACTACATGTCCTGGGCCGCCCCAGAAGACTTGTGCAACCAACTTTCGACAACCAGCAAACATACATACACACCACACACACACCACACACACACCACACACCACACAACACACCACACACACACACACACCACACACACACACACACACACACACCACACACACACACACACACACACACCACACACACACGCAGGCACGCACGCACACACACACACACACGCACGCCACACTCACACATAACTATATGTGCTGCACTGACGAGTCCACAATGCAGAAAACAGTTTTGTACACAGACTGTGCACCAGTGCCCCTTTTTCTTATGCTACAAATGGAAAAGCGGACTGCCCCAGGTGCAAGCTAAGATAGATACATACACAAAAGGGAGCGCACACACAGCTTCACTGTAACCCGAAGTTCCTTGTGCAAGCAACCACCATACAACACAAAAGGGATGCAGGCAGAAATAGAACAGAACAGTAATAGAAAGAGAGCAACAATAACAATAACAACCTACAGATTCTCCTTGGCTGGTTGATAGCTCCACGCGGGATCCGTTGAACTTCGCGCCGACAACTGCCGAATGAGTAACCACTTCGACGCCCTCTGTACGTAGATACACATGAACACGTCCACAGACACACAGACACAGACACACACACACACACACACACACATGGACACACACATGGACACACACACACACATATAGACAAAAGTAAGCGTAGGAAAAAGACAGACTTTGTGTCAAAACTGACTTTTAAAAGCACAGCAAACAGAACTGTAGGCATTGAGAAGCCCGACAGACACACTGCAAACACTTTGCAAGGCAATGTAAGACTGGGTGAATGTCACAGGTCAGA